ATTCACTCAGACACACTTTCTGTGAAGATCCCAAAGACATATTTTCCAGGGAGTTGAAAGAAATGGCATTATCTAGGGGATAAGGGTTCATCAATAAAGACCTGGTTATGTTTTGAATGATGCTGCATAGGGAAATGTTCCCTGATACCAAGATGAGGGATTCTATGGAATGCAGATAGAGAGAATTTATAAGAATAATGATCTGTTGTGACCTTGACGGAAGCATACAATAGACGAGACTTCTTGTGTTTTGGCTCATTTTCCTCTCTCTTTTTTCTTTTTTCCCTTTTCTTTTTTTCCCCCTCCTCCTCCTTCTTCTTTCCTTTTTCTTTTTTCATTTTTCTTCCCCATAATGGCTTGTGTTCTATGCCATGTACTTTGATATTTGTTTGTTTGTTTGTTTGTTTTTTAGCTTTTTCCATCATTATTATTATTAAGGATTTTTCTTTTGTAATTTTGGTTGTTTATATTTACCTGTATTTGTTTAAAGCAAAATAAAAGAATAAAAAAGAAAGAAAGAAAGAAAGAAAGAAAGGGCATTGAAGATGTGATTGCTGTGCTACAGAAAGGGGAAGAGGGAGAGGGCTGATCCTGCACTGCCCACAATGCCTTACTTTAGCTATTTTAAACTGATTCAAGAACCCCACCAAAAAGCAAGCAAGCAAATGAATTCATATATATTAACAAAAAATAACTGACAAATGGGAAGTAGTAAATATTTAAAACAGCGAAAGCATTATAAGGGAGAAAATAAATTCTGTGAAAGTGATTATAATGTAATAGATGAAAAATTACAGCGGGGCTACTGTGAAGTGCCTGGCGTGCTCTGGTCCATGGGGTCACGAAGAGTCGGACACGACTAAACGACTAAACAACAACTGTGAGCACTACATGGAAGAAATATAAAATGACTTTGTCTGAAGAAATCATACATTAGAAGTACTGGCAGAGAAAGGAAAAATATAGATAAATAAAAAGAATTTACTCGATGCCAAAATCCAGGTTAGGGGCAAGTATTCTTTGGTGAGAGAATCCCAGTGGAGATTTAAAATATGCAGCAAAGTAAAGCATGGTAATAGAGGCTTTTGGACCTTTGAAATATGCCCTTCTGGGTTCCTTCCAAAATTTCCCACTTCCCCTAGCACAGCTAAGACCACGCGTTTGGTAAGTTAAAAATTATTTACTTACAGATGCTTCAAAGGTCAGATTCATGTGCTTTTACATACAGCATTCAGACAGCACAGGCAGCAAAACTTAGGCTTGCTCCAAAGTGGTGGATGTTCCTAAATTATTTGTATAGGAACACAAGGATGGCTTAAAAAAAAAAAAATTCAGTGAGCTTGGAGCAACAAGCTCAGGCCTCTTTGCATGCTGGAGTTCACATAGTAGACTGAAGGAAACAATAGACTTGCCTTCCTCCCAATGTGAGGGAGAGCGACCTAGCAAAGCCTAGCAGGACAGCTTAATCTATGGCATTAACCCCTTCATGCATCAATTGGACTTAAGCGTTTTGGTTAAGTCCAAGCTGGTTATCCTACCAAAAAAAAAAAGTTCAAAATTAGATAGCAATTCTTCTTCTAACCAATTCCCTCCAATCCAGCTAGCAGAAACATTGCTGGAGTTATAGAATAAATGCATAAATGTCAAGAGGCACACCTTCAGCATCTGGAATAAGCTGTACAACAAAGAGGCCAGACATATCTCTTAGGGGAGGTCACTGCCTCTCAGCTTTACCTATAGTGTTCTTCTGAAGTGAGAAAAACCTTGTGCACCACCTTTGTCTCCACAAAGGAAAGGCAAGATTCAAGGGTAAACATTAAAAGAGAAAATAACAGATCAACTGTTGCCCCTCCCTACCACACCTTCTTGTTTCCTGACCACTTCTGCATCAATGTTATTTTTCCAAGTCTATTGGAATACAGATGGTTACGGATGCCTATCTTTCTCTCTTCCTCAGATGCAAACCATTGTACCCTGTGTCCAGAGGATCAATATCCAAACAAAGGCCAAGATCAATGTGTCCCAAAGATCATCACCTTTCTGGCTTATGAAGAACATTTGGGGATCATCTTGGCTTCCATCTCCCTTCTCTTGTCTTTAGCCACAGGCGTTGTGTTCGGAATCTTCATTAAATACCAAGAAACTCCCATAGTCAAAGCCAACAACCAGGCCCTCTCCAACATCCTCCTGATCTCCCTCCTGCTTTCCTTTTTGTCCTCCTTCCTCTTCATCGGCCAGCCAAGAAAGGTGACCTGCCTTCTCCGACAAATGGTCTTCAGCATCATCTTCTCGGCTGCCATCTCTTCTGTGTTGGCAAAAACTATCACTGTGGTGCTGGCCTTTCTGGCCACAAAGCCAGGGAACAGAGTGGGGAAATTGCTGGGAAAGAATCTGGCCAACTCCATTGTCATTTCCTGCTCCAGTGTCCAAGTTTCCATCTGCATCATCTGGCTGGGAATCTCTCCCCCATTCCCAGAGTCTGACATGAGCTCCCAGCCTAGAGAGATTATCCTACAATGCAATGAAGGGTCTGTTGCCATGTTTTATGGTGTCCTCGGCTACATGGGCTTCTTGGCCTCCATCTGCTTCACGGTGGCTTTCCTAGCCAAGAACCTGCCTGGAGCCTTCAATGAAGCCAAGCTGATCACCTTCAGCATGCTGGTCTTCTGCAGTGTTTGGTTGTCCTTTGTGCCCACCTACCTGAGCACAAAGGGGAAATACATGGTAGCCGTGCAGATCTTCTCTATCTTGGCCTCCAGTGCTGGGCTTCTGGGCTGCATCTTCATTCCCAAGTGCTACGTTATTGTACTGAGGCCTGATCTGAACACAAAGGAACATCTAAAGACAAAAACTGAAGATGGCGTCTGATTCTTAAATATCCTTTTAAATTTTGAAAATGGATCTCCAGCAAAATAGTTATGTGGAGATGGGTGCTTAAATGTGAATCTCTCTTCCATCCCTATAAATCATGAATGGTGAAAATGTATTCATAGTGAATTTGTGTCAGGGACTGGATGCAGAGGAATGGTGGAGGAACAAGCTGGAGAACCCCCAAGGGAAGAAGGCTCAGAACCTGGGGATTGATGGTGGGACGACAATGAATGATCAAGGGGAGAAGACTGGGAGGAGGAGGTGTTAGAACCTGAAGAAGTAACAAGGCTTAATGAACTGAGAGAGTTGGTAGCAGAGAGAAATCTAGAAGCATAAGCTGAAACAGGAGAGAAGTGAGGCCAAGAGGCAGAGATGAGTCAGGCTGGTGAAGAGTCACAGGTGTCTCTCCGTCCTGCTGTGACAAGCTCCCCTCCCCTCTGGTCTCCCAGAACCAGAAGAGGAATGAAATGGGAGCAAAGACAACCCGCAGACACAGTCTCCGATTGCTTGGGGAAAACCCTGTGGAGGTGCCCCATGATATTCTTGTAAAGAAGCTGGTAAAATGCGGTCTTGACTATGCTACCACTCAGTGGATTTGTAACTGGCTGACTGACCGAACCCAAAGGGTGCTCATCAATGGTTCCTCTTCATCCTGGAGAAGAGTGACTAGTGGGGTGCCACAGGGTTCTGTCTTGGGCCCGGTCTTATTCAACATCTTTATCAACGACTTGGATGATGGACTCAAGGGCATCCTGATCAAATTTGCAGATGACACCAAACTGGGAGGGGTGGCTAACACCCCAGAGGACAGGATCACACTTCAAAACGACCTTGACAGATTAGAGAACTGGGCAAAAACAAGCAAGATGAATTTTAACAGGGAGAAATGTAAAGTATTGCACTTGGGCAAAAAAAATGAGAGGCACAAATACAAGATGGGGACACCTGGCTTGAGAGCAGTACATGTGAAAAGGATCTAGGAGTCTTGGTTGACCACAAACTTGACATGAGCCAACAGTGTGACGCGGCAGCTAAAAAGCCAATGCAATTCTGGGCTGCATCAATAGGAGTATAGCATCTAGATCAAGGGAAGTAATAGTGCCACTGTATTCTGCTCTGGCCAGACCTCACCTGGAGTACTGTGTCCAGTTCTGGGCACCACAGTTCAAGAAGGACACTGACAAACTGGAACGTGTCCAGAGGAGGGCAACCAAAATGGTCAAAGGCCTGGAAACGATGCCTTATGAGGAACGGCTAAGGGAGCTGGGCATGTTTAGCCTGGAGAAGAGGAGGTTAAGGGGTGATATGATAGCCATGTCCAAATATATAAAAGGATGTCACATAGAGGAGGGAGAAAGGTTGTTTTCTGCTGCTCCAGAGAAGCGGATACGGAGCAATGGATCCAAACTACAAGAAAGAAGATTCCACCTAAACATTAGGAAGAACTTCCTGACAGTAAGAGCTGTTTGACAGTGGAATTTGCTGCCAAGGAGTGTGGTGGAGTCTCCTTCTTTGGAGGTCTTTAAGCAGAGGCTTGACAACCATATGTCAGGAGTGCTCTGATGGTGTTTCCTGCTTGGCAGGGGGTTGGACTCGATGGCCCTTGTGGTCTCTTCCAACTCTATGATTCTATGATTCTATGAGTGGACTTAAACAGTTGTTGGAAGGTGGGGACCTTCAGTCTCTGCAGCTGTACAAGATGTACAGAAAAAGAGTCACTGTGCTCATTAGATGTGATACTCCTGTGAAGATCCTGTTTCATTTAATAAAGAATTAACTCCACTTACTTCATGTGATGTACTGCTGGCTTGCTCCTGACACTCTGCTGTGGTTGTGCATAATGAGTTCTTTCATCACAGACAGGTTGCGATAAAATACCTACGCAACCACACTATTCTTACTAGTCTTTATGCAAGTACAGTGGTACCTCGGGTTAAGAGCTTAATTCATTCTGGTGGTCCGTTCTTAACCTGAACCTGTTCTTAACCTGACGTACCACTTTAGCTAATGGGGCCTCCCGCCGCCGCCACGTGATTTCTGTTCTCATCCTGAAGCAAAGTTCTTAACCCGAGGTACTATTTTGGGGTTAGCAGAGTCTGTAACCTGAAGCGTCTGTTGAAGGGAAGTTCTCTTTCTGCAGTTCTCTTACTGCACATAACTGTGGCATTGTGGGAAAGTCTTGCTTTTAGCACTATTGCTTCTTTTCTTGCATTCTGGGAAGTCTCGCTTCTGCTTCTGCACATACTGTTCCAAACACACCAAGCCAAACACACCAAGACATTCTCTCATTCTTCAGTTCATTCCAAGTTCATGAACAAAACAATATGGTCTGTTCTTAATGCATAGCTGACCACATCTACGGAACTTGATTATTATATTCTTTCATGTTATGATCAATCATTAGTAATTGTTTTAGTCATGTTATATTAATCTTTAGTTATAATTTAATTAGGAGGATTCATGCCTGTCTAGTTCCAGCTCCGTTTCTCATCCTTTGATCTATCAGTGATAAATGGTTGTATGTAATTCCCGCCTTGTACCTATGTTAACCAATCAGCAACAAGATGCTTTGTGTTTGTATCAACCAATCAGCCACAAGCACACCTGTGGCAATGTTTGTAATATTCAATAAAAGAGAGTTCCCGGGGCTTGCCCCGGCAGACGCCTCTCATATGACACCTGCCACTCGTCTGTCGTGATTTCAACCCAACATCTGGTGACCCCCGAAGTGCCAGATCCCTTACGCAGCCAGCCCTCATACTTCACTCGACTGGAAAAGTCTCAGCGCGCTACTTCGTGAGTATGGGAGGGGAATTGACTAAATTCCAAAAGGAGCATGCTAAAGAATTGCTTTATTTAGTTAGACAGCGAGCGGTGGGTGTTAATATTTCCTTAAAAGAAATTGAACAATTGCTATGTGAGATTTCTTGCCAATATCCCTCCTATCCAGAGAAAGATTCTTTGGAAGTAGAGACTTGGCAAAAGATCGGAAAGACCCTTTTTACAGAACCAAGGGCTCCGATTCATTGTCTGCTCACTTGGCAGAAATGTGCAGACGCCGTTGCTAAATTAGGGCCCCAATTCCTGGGACCCAAGGTGTCTCCCTCGGCTCCTGCACTTCTAGCCATCGCAGACAATCCCCCACCTTACCCAAAGCTTTTGCCTCCTTCTCCTTTGCAGCCCAGCCACTCCCTCCCTGCGTCTCAACCTCCTCAGCCTGCATCCTCCCCCCCCATCCCTCCACCTCAGCTTGCATCCTCCCCCCCCCATCCCTCCTCCGCCTGTCACAGCCCCTGTTTGACCAAATTTGGGTAACTAGAGGACTGGCTCCGAAGACTAGTAAAGTGGAAATTTGTCCTAAAACTTGTTCCGACCACAATGCTGTGAAGATGGAAATGAAATTGACCCCAATTGGTTCCTTTAGATGGAGGATGAATGACACTTTGTTTAGGAACGAAGAAGTGACTAAGAAGGCCCAAAAAACTTTGAGAGACTATTTTCAGATAAATATGAACACCACTGTGGAAAAAAGAGTAATCTGGGATGCAAGTAAAGCGGTTATGAGAGGATTTTTGATACAACAGAATGCAATTAAGAAGAGAACTCAAAATGAAAAAAAAGATAAAATCTTGGAGAAAATAAAGGAAGGAGAGAAGAAATTGAGAGCGAAACCAAAGTCACAGGAGATTCTGAAAGAGATAAAGTTATATCAAGTACAATATATGAAAATGATGGATCAGGAAATAGAATGGAAGATAAAACAGATGAGACAAAAGACCTTTGAATCAGCAAATAAGTGCGGAAAACTGCTGGCTTGGCAAATGAAAAAAAGACAAAAACTTAATACTATTACGAATTTGGAAGTGGAAGGAAAGAATATACAGAACCCAGTGGAGATCAGGAAGTGGAGATCAGGAAGTGTTTTCAGAGGTATTTTAAACAACTTTATACACAGGAGAAGCAGAAAGAATTGGACATTGATCGATTTTTGAAAATAAATGGACTACACAAAATCTCTCAGGAAAAACAGCTAATGTTGAACCATAAAATAACGGATCAGGAGGTGGAAGGGGCCATTCAGAATATGCAATTGGGTAAATCTCCAGGACCAGATGGTTTGACTTCAAGATATTACAGATCTTTGAAAGAATGGCTAATACAACCGTTGAAGGAAGTCTGTAATGAAATATTGGAAGGGAAAAAGGCACCAGAGTCGTGGAAGGAAGCATATATTACACTTATATACTGTGTCTATACACTTATAGACACAGCTTAAGAACTACCGCCCCATATTGTCGCTTAATGTGGATTACAAAATTTTTGCAGATATTTTGGCTAAAAGATTAAAAAAGGTGTTAGTAGAAGAAATTCATAAAGACCAAGCGGGCTTTCTCCCGGGCAGACATTTGTCTGATAATACGAGGAATATAATTAATATTTTAGAAAAACTACAAGTGAACATTAATACTAAAGCAGTTTTGATATTTGTGGACGCGGAGAAGGCCTTTGACAATATTTCTTGGAGTTTTATGAAGAAGAATCTACAGGGGATGGGGGTAGGTCAAGGTTTTGGAAATGGTATAGGTGCAATTTATTCAGAACAAAAGGCTAAATTAATTATGAATAATGTAGTGACAGAAAAATTTAAGATTGAGAAAGGAACACGACAAGGTTGCCCAATCTCTCCATCGCTTTTTATATCGGTCCTAGAGGTTCTGTTAAATATGATTAGAAGGGACCAATTGGTTAAAGGTATACAAGTGGGAACTAAATAGTACAAACTGAAAGCATTTGCTGATGATTTGGTACTGACTTTACAGGAGCCAGAATCTAGTACTAAAAGAGTACTGGAACTGATTCAAGAATTGGTCAGGTAGCAGGCTTTAAGTTGAACAAGACAAAAACTAAGGTTTTAGAGAAAAACCTAACTGGGATAGAGAGAGATAAGTTTCAGAAGGAGACAGGATTAACATTGGTTAAGAAAGTGAAATATTTAGGGGTTAACATGACTGCTAAGAACGTGAATTTATTTAAGGATAATTATGAAAAATGCTGGATTGAAGTGAAAAAGGACTTAGAAATATGGTCAAATTTGAAGTTACCACTGTTAGGCCGAATTGCTGTGATAAAAATGAACGTATTGCCAAGGATGCTGTTTTTGTTCCAAACATTGCAAATCTTGGATAAAATGGATTGTTTCAAGAAATGGCAGAGAGATATTTCTAGATTCGTCTGGCAGGGCAAGAAGCCTCGAATAAAATTTAAGATATTAACTGATGTTAAAGAAAGAGGTGGATTTGCCCTGCCAGACCTTAAACTTTATTATGAATCAGCCACATTTTGTTGGCTGAGAGAATGGATGCTTCTTGAAAACACTGATGTGCTGGACTTAGAAGGTTTCAACAATGTATTTGGTTGGCATGCATATTTGTGGTATGACAAGGTTAAAGCACATAAAGCGTTTAAAAACCATATTGTTAGAAAAGCATTGTTTAATGTCTGGATAAGATATAAGGACTTGTTAGAAAATAAAACCCCAAGATGGTTGTCACCAATGGAAGCGAAGACTCAGAAAAAACTCAATATGGAGGCCAAATGGCCGAAATATTGGGAAATTTTGGAACAAGAGGGAGACAGAATAAAACTGCAGAGCTTTGAAAAATTAAAAAACAAAGTGCGAGACTGGCTCCATTATTACCAAATAATGGAGGCATATAATTTGGATAAAAAACTTGGCTTCCAGGTGGAAAAATCAAAATTGGAAACAGACTTGTTAGACCCCAAAATTAAGAATTTATCAAAAATGTATAACTTGCTGTTGAAATGGAACACTCAGGATGAAACGGTGAAATCAGCTATGATTAAATGGGCACAAGATGTTGGACACATTATCATGATGGCTGACTGGGAACAGTTATGGACCACAGGTATGAAGTTTACGGGATGTAATGCCTTAAGAGAGAATTTAATGAAAATGATCTATAGGTGGTACGTGACACCAGTCAAGCTTGCAAAAATTTACCATTTGCCCGAAAATAAATGTTGGAAATGTAATGAGACTGAAGGTACATTCTTTCACCTTTGGTGGACGTGCCCAAGGATTAAGACATTCTGGGAGATGATCTATAATGAAATGAAAAAGGTATTTAAATATACCTTTCTTAAGAAACCAGAGGCCTTTCTCCTGGGCATGGTCGGCCAATTGGTGACAAAGAAGGACAGAACTTTCTTTATGTATGCTACAACAGCAGCAAGAATACTTATTCCAAAGTATTGGAAGACACAAGATTTACCCACCCGGGAAGAATGGCAGATGAAGCTGATGGACTACATGGAACTGGCGGAAATGACTGGCAGAATCCGAGACCAGGGAGAAGAGTCGGTGGAAGAAGATTGGAAAAAATTTAAAGACTATTTACAGAAACACTGTAAAATTAATGAATGTTAGAAGGATGCTGGAATGAAGTTATATGGCTTTAGCAGAAATGTTATAAAGAATTAAGTAAAAATAGACTGTTAATGGGCTAAAGGGGGAAAAATAAGGTTAGATTGTGTTAAGATAAATTATGGGACAAAAACTGAGAAAGATGGAAAGGAATTGCTGAAATAGCTAATTGAACTAGAATGCAAAAAAGGGAGGTGTGAGGAGGTCGTCGAAACAAGTAAATGAAAGATAAGATATGGAAATATTGGATGCGTTTTTAATTGTTTCTGTTTTTGTTTTTGTTTTGTTAAGATAAGTAGTGTTTTCTGTTTTATATGTATTGTATTGTATTGTATTGTATTGTATTGTTTTGCTTTGTTTAACTTTTCTTCTTCTTCTTCTTTCTGTAATTCCTAAACTCTTAATAAACATTATTTTAAAAATATATATATACATTTTATTTTGAGGGTCTCAGACCCACTTCTAACAGGGCAGATGTCCAGAACACCTTGCACCTCCCCACCCTGAATGTAGATCAAGACTCCTTGAGCTGCAATCATCAATATGGAATCTTTGCTGCACGCATTGGCAGCCGGTACTCTTGCTCGCTTTGCTGTGGGTTTGTGAGGAGGAAACTCTGAGTGCCCCTGGCCCCAAGCCTTGAGGAGCTGCATCTTGGGGGTGGTCTACATGCAGGAGAGCATCTCAGTGTGACTGAGATTAAGTGGGGGAAGTCATGTGAGCCTAGGCTTGTCCACTCAGAAAGCATATGGAGTAGAAAGGGCCTTCGTTTCCAGCTCTTATTGAGGCATGGCTTGGCCAAAGCAGCCTCACTTGTCTAATGCTCGCGGACTATCTCACCAGAGTGGTGCATGCTCTAGTTATCTCTCGCTTGGACTACTGCAATGTGCTCAACCTGGGGCTACCTTTGAAGGTGACCCAGAAACTACAACTAATCCAGAATGCGGCAGCTAGACTGGGGACTGGGAGCAGCCGCCAAGACCACAACACCGGCCTTGAAAGACCTACACTAGCTCCCAGTACGTTTCCGAGCACAATTGAAAGTGTTGGTGCTGACCTTTAAAGCCCTAAACAGCCTCAGCCCAGTATACCTGAAGGAGTGTCTCCACCTCCATCGTTCTGCCCGGACACTGAGGTCCAGTGCCAAGGGCCTTCTGGCAGTTCCCTCGCTACGAGAAGCCAAGTTACAGGGAACCAGGCACAGGGCCTTCTCGGTAGTGGCACCCGCCCTGTGGAACGCCCTCCAACCAGATGTCAAAGAGAAAAA